AGTAAGTCAAAAAAGAATTCAGCAAGTCAGTCAGCTGTGAGAGTTTAAACTGAGTTCAATCTATGCTCATAGACGATGGACTTATTTTTAAGACTACATACTTCTATTTGCCACAGCAGTGGGAATGGTAGATGGGCTTTCTCATCTCCAAGTGCACACTTTTTAATTGATCTTCCTATGCTGAGAAGGCTGTGGTCCTGTCAATAGCACTTTCTCATCCCTTTGTAGCTTGTGTTCTGGGTGTGACTTCGGTTCTGAAAATCAAGCACAGGTGAGATGCACGATTTGGAAAGTAGAAATTTTATGCATTCTCTTCCTTATGTTTATGGTGGAACCCATGGACATGGAAAGGAGACATTTTCTGCAGCAGGATTCCACACTTTTGTCTCTAGCTTCCTGTAAGTGTGGAAGCAATTTCTCTGGAGATGGTGGTCTTATTTTAGTTCTTATAAATAGGCCAGTGGGCTTTGATTGGGATTTGTGCTGATCACTGAAGCTTCTGGACTCCAGCTTCCTGTTCCTGAACTCAGCTATTGTCCCATATCCTCAAATGCCACGGTCACATGGTGACATAGAACGATCAGTTCTCAGAGCCCAGGAGAATTCGTAGAGACTCGATATGGATTTCTTCTCTTTCCTTTCTAGCAACTTTATTAAATTGAACATTCTGTATTTCTTGAAATACCTAGATTAAGTTTTATTCTCTGACTTGAACCATGACTGATCCAGCCAGTTAGTAATAATGGGTACAGCTTGAAGTCAGAGAGTAACCACGGGGACATGTGGCAGAGACAGCGAGCGCTCCAGTAATATTCATTTTGTCCTTCTCCCTGTCACTGAAGAGCTTGCTTTTATTTACCCCGAGAGACTCTGCCTCCTAGTTTGTCACAGCTTGCATTCATGTCACCATGAGATGTCACCAGAAGGATGCGTGTCAGGTTTGGTAAAACTTTTCTTTGTTTCTCTTTTCCAATGGCTGAGCAGAGGCAGTGGTGCAAGCTGGAGGAGCTGCCCTGGATGCAAAGCTGACAAATACTGTTGATGGAAGCCCCGATTACACGGGACACCCATCTTTCTTAAACTACTCTATTTTTTCCTCCCGTTAACAGAAGTGTAGGTTGTAACCTGAACTAACACAGGTGTGTGTGAACTCTGGTATTGGAGCCAGGGATGAAAACGTCTGTTACTTGATCAACAGGTACGTCTTGGATTAACAAGGTAGCCTGTACAGTGTGTTCACAGGAATAAGAATCAGAAGACTTGCTCATCTACAGTTCTTACATAAAGTCTTTTGGTGTTGGCTGGTAATAGCCCTCAGCTCAGAGCATGGTAAGGTACTTAAAAAGCTGCGATGCAAGGTCTTTAAAAGCAAGCTGTTTACCCCAGGTGTGCGAGCTCTGCAGATGAGGTAACAAGCATCTTCAGAGGCCTGAATGGGAGAGTGAATATGAGACAGGCTTGCTTTCAGAGTGGCGAGGCAGTTGTTTTGCTGTCACCATGTTCAAAGCAGGATAAGGAGAGGCATGAGCTCAGGGACTAATCCCAAAAGTTGCTTAGGCCAATGAGTTAGGTAGCATGAGTAAGTAGCCCCAGTAAATGTGGAAAAGTAATAATTCAAATTCTTTTTCTAGACACTGAAGTCTTTCAAAACCAGGAACTTACATGTTGGATAAATGGCCAAGCTCTACACCAGACTTTTGGAATAATTTTTCATCAACAAATCCATGTTTTTTCTTAATCAAGTGAGATTATCCTTAAAAAATGGGGGATTCCTCCAAATTGAGGAAGCCTTCAATACAGATACTGGTAGTTTATGTTTCCCCAATTTCACTTCAACTTATTACCTAAAAAGCCAATTTTAACCACTGAAAATTTTGAAATGACTTTTTGCCTTACTAGTTTGTATAATGTATACTGGAAAATGTACACTTCAAAGCTTTAGAAATGGGCAACAATGTTAGTAATATCCAAGAATTAGGGAGCACTTTCCTATATCCAAGGTCTTTATATTTAACACATAGGTACTCATTTCAAGTCCACGAGTACCAAGATCCTGCCATGCTTATGCTATGTATTTTAATAATAGGAGAAATATGCAAAACCATGCATAGGTCATTGACTCTGCTGCTGTGTCCTTATATGTTTGGAACAAAATTTAGTACCCTGGCCAAGGTACATTATACGTTAAATACATATAAGGAATACCAGAGTCTATGCCATGGTCAGAAGCTTTTTTTTTTTTTTTTTTGGAGACAGGGTCTCGCTATGCAGTTCCCGATGGCTTTGAACTCATGCAGCCTAGGATGGCCCTAAACTCATGGTGATCCTTCTGCCTCAGCCTTCGGAGTGCTGGGATTATAGGTGTGTGGCACCATACCTGGCCAGAGCTTCCTTTCTGAAGAAAATGGAACAACATGGAATCGACCCCATGGAATTCCGTAACAGACAACATTCTTTTGGACACAGATGCTGATCATCTTGGATTTGTGTGCAGAAGGCTTACTGGGGTGGACTCCAGGGCACAATCTCGAAGAGTAGTAACAAATGAGGAAAATGTCAATGCACTGTTTTTTCAGCAAAGGCTTCAGCAAATTATATGAGGAACTCTGGAGGGGGATAGTGCTTAAACATTAAAGGAAGAGTAAGAACACACACAAAGTGGACGAGGTAGCTCACATTGTAATACTAGCTTTCTATAAGGCTGAGACAGGAAGATTGGGAATTTAAGCTCAACCCGGGCAAGTTAGCTTTTGTACTGAACCATTCGTTCCTCAGCAGCAGTGTGGGACTCTTCTATAGAGTAGCTTGGCTGGCTCTTCCAAGCTTGGAGAGGATCATGGTGTGGGGATTTATCTAGATTGGAAACTGGGTGAAGAACTACCATCACCCATTGCAGCTTCCTGAAGTGTGGTCTTTATATCTGACATCCCATGGTGCTGCTTCCGGAATCCGGCTGTGTCTCACTACTTGCAAGATAAACCTCCAATCCCTTAGACTGGCCCACGTGACTCAAGTGGCCAGGGGACTGCTCTAGCCTCACTTCTTTCTGACCCTATAAGCTCACATACCCAACATTGTCCATGCTACGGCCTGTTCTCTGTTCTTTTCTCCCAATTTCTGTGCTGGGTTCAAACTCGAGCATGGATTCTCAGGGCCCCTGCATGGGCCTGATCTTCTGGGTTGTAATTGCTAGGTTCTATTTCTGGGAGATGATGCAGTCGTCCTCTTCCATCAGATTCCTGGAAAGGAGCTCAGCAGGTGCCAGTTGTGGGAGGAACCAACATCCCAACACCGCTCACGCTTCAGCTGAAACTTCAGACTACTTCCATTCATTTTAATTTTCATTTGTGCATGTCTGCAGCGCTACCTTCACCATAGGAAGCTGGTGCGTGCATACGACACATAGTAACAGTTTCTCAGGCGATTTCAGTGTGACTTTATCCTCTTCCCTCTACAGACCCATCCCTTTCTCACAGTGAGGACGCACAACCCCACCTGCCTGCGCGGACCTCACCCGTCTTCAGGCGCCCCGCCCTCCCGCCGAGGAGGCCACCTTGACGCGCTGACGCCACGCAAGGTAGCCGACGCGCTGACGTCACGGGCCGCGCGGCTTTCCACAGGTCCAGAGCTCGTCGTGGTTGCTTTTCGGGGCTGTCTGAATTCTGTGGATTCTGAAGGCTGGCAGAGGCGAGAATCCAAGGCGAGGCCTACGAGGACCTCCGTAGGAAGAGATTGTTTCTTGGGGCAACGCCCAGTAGCCGAGGCCCCGCCCGAGAGCGCGCGCCGCCGTCTCCTAGGCAACGACGCCCGCCCGCCGGAGACAAAGTTCCCTAGTCTAGTTGTTATCATTTACGCTTTCTTCCTCACAGGTTTGTGAGCCTATTTGATATGGTCATGGTTGCCAGATATATATTTTATCCATTTTCTTATAAAAAATTGTATTCTCTGTCCTACTAAATTGCTGACAATTGAGCAGTTTTCAAGAATATATTTCTTAGAAAAGTGCTTTTTGAAATATGTCTTATTTCTTAGTATTTTGTAATGGACCTTAAACTGTAGTTGTAATGGAATCTGTCTGAATGAGAACTACTGATTGTATAACATAAAATCCTGTGACATTGTATGCTCATTTAGAAAGCTTTTAAGCTTTCTGCTTCTGCGCATATGATACAA